AATAATACGCCTCACGAGTTATACGACCACCACCATCAGTTCTATCCGTCGCAACGCATCTATCGCTTCTATATATGTCTAGGTATTCGATAGAATTGTCCAAGCCTACTCACCAGTGGCAAGGGCTAGTCAGTAAACTAATTCGTGCGTGGTCGCCACACGGCCTAGTACCTCCGTATCTAATATACCAATCAGCAGTACTAACATAATCTCGATCGCTGAGCCAGCCAAATAGGGGCAAGCTCAAAACAGTAAGCAGAGCTTCATGTGTGGATTGGATGTCGTGTTTAAGTAAGACAAGCTAGGCGGGAAAACTTCAGAAGGCGTCGATACAGGGCACGCGGAGGGCATGTGACATAAAATAATTAGTTAACTCTATACAATTATGCAAGGTAGGTATAACGTAGTTAGAAAACATTCATAGTTCGTTGCGGGGGGATGTTCGACCCACAAGGACGGACGTTAGCTATATACTCAGCAGTAGCAGGCAGGCCTGCCACTACTAAGACGTGTGCTCCCTTGCTAAGACTTATATGCCCCTGCTGAGACTTGTACGTCCGTAGCAAGACCGAGGTAAGACTAGTGTTATCAACTCAATCCCAATACATATCCCAACAACTATAATCGCGACTACAACAGCGACGTATAAAGTGGCTGTAGTTAAAATAACTAGGGAGCATCTTAGAATATTCCTCTAAGAAATAGCTAATTATTCTATCTAAAAATCCTATATAAATATACTAAAACTTGCAACTAAAGTGATTCATTACCCTTAGGGTGGGCATTTCCCTTAGGGTATAAGACCCATGCAACGCGCGGGCAATTTCTTAAAATTTTCAGAACGAACCATTGGGCCTGAGTAGTTCTCAAGAATTATAGACTTCTAACTAACTATTACGATCTAATTAGCTACTTTCGGCATAAAGGGGTTTTCGGCACACAGTGACGCGTAACCAAGGTAAGCACTAATCCCCACTAAACTAATACTACGTAGCAACGATTTGGCGCAACCGACGTTACAACGTATAATAAGATAAAGCCCTCGTACGATAAATGCTTGGTTCTTAAAATTATTATTATCTTGCACAATTCTAAGAGAGACCGACTTATTACATCTATTTATTCGAGCTAGTTTAGCATCTTAAGATGAAATTTATACTATCACTCCTCCTCTTTGGACTTACTACATCTGCACTATATCCTAATAAAGCTATTAACAAGTCCCCTGATCGTGTTCTACAGGCACGGGCTGCGTGCTGTAGTGAAGCCCTTATTAATCGTCAAAAAACCTGTGTAAGTTCTATATATCTGTTCAGATTTAATAACCTTACTGATATATTTAAAGGTTTGCTTTGACAATGTACGTATATCGTGACTCTGTAAATTCTAATTTTTAACTTTTGAAGCAATCATGCTGCGGTCATTAGAACGCAATACAGTGAAAGTAGAGAGGGCGCGGATCGGGAGGGAAACATGACGCTAGCGTTAGTGCTCTATCGCTTGACATTTTTCACTCTGTTTGCTATATAGCGTATCAGATCAATTATCTCAGAAAAGAATAGCAGGC